CTTTTTAAACTGATAGATACATATATCGAGGGCATCTGCAATATGTTTTACCTTTTCAGTAAATTAGAAGAAAGGAATGATTGAAAATGTATTTGGCTGCAGATTTGACATAAGTTCATCCTGTGAGATTGCGATGTGCAAAAAAAAAAAAAAAGGTAAATACAGTGGTACCTCGGGTTACATACGCTTCAGGTTACAGACTCCACTAACCCAGAAATAGTACCTCGGGTTAAGAACTTTGCTTCAGGATGAGAACAGAAATCGTGTGCCGGCTGCATGGCGACAGCAGGAGGCCCCATTAGCTAAAGTGGTGCTTCAGGTTAAGAACAGTTTCAGGTTAAGAATGGGCCTCCGGAACGAATTAAGTACTTAACCCGAGGTACCACTGTAAGGAGATAAAAATGTAGTTCAGAATCCTGTGATATCCCTTTGCTTCACAATAGCTCTTTTAAAACTATCAGACTTATTATCACATTGACCCCATTTCCTCCAGATGCCTTGAGAACCACATCTTAAATGCTTCATTCTGGAAAGGATGAAAGTCTGGCACAATAGCTAAACTATTTCTACTGTTTGCATTTATCTAAGGCAGAAACTCTCAGCCAGCCAGCATTCCTGCTGCTTGCAGTTGGGTGACTAAGAGAATCTCTCCAAGATCAACATCTGGAAAATCTGAGAGAAGCAAATGTTGGCTTCTTCATCTAAATTGGAAGTCTGCATGCCTCCCAGCCTCATCCCTCCCAATCTTTATGTCTCTTTTTCCAGACCAAAAGAATGATGATATGCATTTTACTGCAGCAGTCAGATCCTAAACTTGTTAAAAGCAGTGTTAGTTTCTACACAGTACAGTGGTACCTCGGGTTACATACGCTTCAGGTTACATACGCTTCAGGTTACAGACTCCGCTAACCCAGAAATAGTGCTTCAGGTTAAGAGCTTTGCTTCAGGGTGAGAACAGAAATGGTGCTCCAGCAGCGCAGCAGCAGCAGGAGGCCCCATTAGCTAAAGTGGTGCTTCAGGTTAAGAACAGTTTCAGGTTAAGTACGGACCTCCGGAATGAATTAAGTACTTAACCCGAGGTATCACTGTAGTGTAGTTTCTTAAGCCAGAACTGAGGGAGGAATGAGGACAGGGTTCGTTAACAAAAGTGCCAAACTATGGGTGTTAGATGACGCAGCCTTGGACTTTGAATACCCCTTCCTCACCTCACTCACTCTGCCAAATAGATACTCCCTGGTTTGCAGCAAACGATTTTCCCTTTTACATGGAAATTGCCAATTTATAGTTTAAGCTTCCTGTTCGAACTTGAATTGTGCAAACCAGCTTCAAACCTTGGTTTGCAATCCTGGTTTGGAGAGGAAGCCCAAACAATAGCTTCCCCGTGTCAATGCAGAGCAGAAAAGTTGGTTTTCTGCAAACCAGGAATGAATTAATTAGAACACATGAGGACAATAGGGAGGTGGAGTATGTATGTTCACTGAGATCAATTAATTTAAACAGCAAGACTATTGATTTCAATGTGTCTATTCTGAGTTATAACCTACTTGGATACAACCCTCTAGTTTTTGAGTATAACAGGGCAATCCTAAGCATGTTTATTCAGATGCAAGTGTCACTGAATTCAACAGAACTTCCTCCCTATAAAATGTATTTAGGACTGTAGCCTAAGAATGACATATGTTTCCAGTTTCAGAGCATCAGCTGGTAGAAGTTTGAGGAAGATGGGTAACTAGTGAAAAGGATCAGGGGACTGTGAGTCATAGACTTTATGCTCTGTGTTTAACTTTGCTCTTTACTTGTTATCCAACCTTGGTTGTTTGCATATGCAATTGTTCAATGACTCAACTTAGCCTTTTAAAAGTAAAACAAATGTAATTAAAATCTAAATTTTAATCTGTTTCTTTATGCTACCATAATGGTATATCGAATGGCATATGCCCAGAAATGGAGGGAATGAACAGTACCAATGAAGGAGGAATGGCAGACAAAATTGCTGGAATATGTAGAAATGGCAAGTTTAACCAGTAAAATAAGAGATCAGGAAGCAAGAGCATTTAAGGAAGAGTGGGATCATGTATTCCACCTTGAGCTCCCAGGAAGAAAAAGGTGGTATATAAATGTACCAAATAATTAAATAACTAAATAGAAAACATATTATTTGCAGTCTGATCCTATGATATGTATGCACAATTCAGTACCATTCAGTCAAAAAAGGAAATGTATACGAGATGGAAGAAGGGACATAACCAAGGATGAATTTAAAAGTATTCTGAACCTGTAATGACAGTGTCAAGAAGACTAAATCCCATAATGACCTGTGACTTGCAAGGAAAATGAAAAACAATTTAAAAACCTTCTTTAATTATGTCCGGAACAAAATGTAGGTCTACTCTTTGGGGAAGATGGGGAAGTATTAACAAGTGACGAAGAGCAGGAGGAACCACTCAGCTACTATTCTGCCATAGTCTTTACTTATAAGGAGAATTGTGCAACTTTGGAAAAGTAGAACAAATGACATACAGAGGGATTTGCAGCCCAGGTGAGGTAAGGAGGTGTCCAGATCGCAAGCAGTGATAGTTCCACTCTGTTCTGTGCTTGTCAGACTGTTTCTGTGATATTGCGTCCAGGGGATTGGACTACGGACAAGAGGTTGTCCTCCTACTCAAATTAGAGTTCTTTCTAACTCAGAAATCCTACGGTTCAACTGAAATTGTTATTCAAAACATATTGTTACTGGCCACTCCAATCTCTGTTGAGCAGCGCGAGATTCCAAATGTTTTGGCACTTAACCAGGGTTTGTGTTTCCTTTGGAAAAAAATGAGGCACAACAGTGACTGTAGTGTCAACCAGGATCTTGGCTTGAAGGGGTGCATAGTATGAGTGTCTCTTGCTGCTTTTCCCATAGCTTCATCAAGCTTGGGTCCAAAGAAGAAGAAGAAGAAGAAGAAGAAGAAGAAGAAGAAGAAGAAGAAGAAGAAGAAGAAGAAGAGTTTGGATTTGATATCCCGCTTTATCACTACCCGGAGGAGTCTCAAAGCGGCTAACATTCTCCTTTCCCTTCCTCCCCCACAACAAACACTCTGTGAGGTGAGTGGGGCTGAGAGACTTCAAAGAAGTGTGACTGGCCCAAGGTCACCCAGCAGCTGCATGTGGAGGAGCGGAGACACGAACCCGGTTCCCCAGATTGCGAGTCTATCGCTCTTAACCACTACACCACACCCAGTGTCTGGGTACAGACTCTCCCTACCACCCTGCATTGAGTTCTGTCCACTACCTACTTCTTGTTCTCAGAACCCCTTGCCAGATGCAGCTTCTCTTTCCATTTACACCATCACGGTCTTCCTGGCAGCCTCCATTTTAAAACACACTGCAAATGGCTACTTTTTCCTGTAGTGGCATCATGGCCCCTGTAACCATTACAACCTCACGCTCCCAATGCTTCTGTCCATGTCCACTACTGAGTGGCAGAGGAAGGGCAATATTTGCATTATTAATCTTTCTTTATGGCCCAATACTCTGCTCTCTTTGTTTCTTAATGACACCTCTATCAGCTGATCTCCCAAACAGGAAAACCAGTATAACCTGTCATTTTACACTATGTCACATCTTCCTTATTAAGCAAAATGTTGTTGTTGGCATCTGGCTGTTTCAAGAGACAATGGAGTGCTCCTCCTGGGGTGAAGTCAAACTGCTGTGTTAGCAGCATGGAGGTTACCTCCTCAGAGCACAAGCTTAAGCAGTGGTGCTATGGAGATCCTGGGCTGCCCAGATGACAAGACCCCACTCTCGGCCTTGCTGATGTAGTCCAAAGCAGCAATACATTTGGCATCAGCTGGGCTGCAGGAGTTGCCGGAAGGAGGCATACAAGGCACCATCCAACCATCTTAGAGACTCCACTCTGGATTTCTGTAGGGTTTACCCCTTAGCCTTTTCTTCTCCCAAAGATGTCCCACAAGGCAGTGGATACGTATTTTTCCCTGGGGTTACTCCCAAAGCCTTTCTCATTAATGAGTACAGCCGCAAGGCAGCAGAGGTTTAGGATCAGAGTTTCCATTCTCTGACATGGGGCTCCCATCTGCCCCTCACTTCCCTCTACAGCACATGCAGAAACCACTTTCTTGACCTTTGGACCCACTATTGGTCTCATCCGCTCAATCTGCCAGAGCCTGTCTTTACATGCAGGGGAAGTCTCCAACTCACAAAGGGTTTGAAACCCCTCAGCTACCCTCACCTGGTTCAGAAGGCCAGGCAAAGCTGTTCATGGGATGTGGCCACTGTCACATGCTGACAACTTCTGGGAGCCGAGGTCAAAAAAAACCCAAAATAAACAAAATAAAATAATTCCTTCCGGTAGCACCTTAGAGACCAACTAAGTTAGTTATTGGTATGAGCTTTCATGTGCATGCACACTTTTTTATTTATATTATTTTGTTTCGACTACAGCAGACCAACACGGCTTCCTACCTGTAACTGGGAGCCGAGGGTGAGAGCTGAGTGTAGGGTGGGAACCAAAGATGGGCAAACTACCCCAGAAGGAGCAGGACGTGTCCCCAGGACGTGTCACCAGAGGTACCACCCTCCCCTAACACCCCATAGAAATATTAGCTATATCATAGCGCCATTTACTAAATTTAGGGAGATCTGCCTCCTTAAAGCTGCAGCCTTAAACTCACCCCACCTCCCATCAAAGTCAATGCTAACCCCTGCAGCTAAGTTTAGAATTTGCTCCAAAGGCAGAAACCACATTTCCTTTGCTACTTCCCCCTCCCCCTTTTCTTCTTTCTACAGCCCTCTCCCATTTCCCACCCGCCTTCCTCAAGCTCCTTTAATACTACTGTCCTATTATTACTCTCCGCGGGCGTGATGCAGATGGGTCGGGGGAGAGGAGGGAGGAAGCGAGCGCGAGATAGAGAGAAAGAGAGAGGCGGCAGCAGAGGGTTTAGGCCGGCGAGCGGAACCCCGAGCGCATCGATGAAGGGGTGTCTCCTTTCGGCGGTCGACTCACTCCGGCCCAGGCGAGCGGGCTCTTGAGCCGAGTCAGCTGTGGGAGCGGAGCAGGCGGCGCTTGCCACCATCTTTGGCGGAGAGGGGCTGCGGTCGCGCGGGGGTCCGGCACACAGGTACTCCCTCCTTCCTTCTCTCCCTCTTTCCGCAAAACTCGGGCTTCTCCGGGCTGGGCATGGCAGGAGCGCGGGAGGGGAGCCCCGAAGAGGCGGGTGGGAACGGCTTCGACGGGGACGCTGGCGCCTCTCCCAGCAGCTCCCTGTCAAAGCGCCCCACCAGCCAGCCAGGACCCCGTCTCTCCCTTTTCGGTGCGGCGGCTCCCGGCGGGCAGAAGGGAAGCAGACCCGTCCTTAGCGGTGCCCAAGTGCACTTTTATTTCTCCCTTTAAGTAGCGTTGCAAAAGGGTCTGCACACGCACACCCAGTCCGCTGCGTGTGTGGTCGGGGGCGAGGACAATCTGCTGCTGTCCCGCCGCACCCACTCACTTCCAGGGGGTCAGGGAGCAACCGGGGTTGGCGTCTGTATGTTTGTGTGTGTGTGTTAAAAAATCCTCCTGCTGTACTTCCTTCTTGGCCGCGGAGCCTGCGTGGGCGGGAGGAGCGACGCTATTTCTCCCCGGGCTCAGCTTCCCGACCACCACCCTCCTCTCCTCTCGGTCGGTGGGTTAAATGCCCTCTCCTTTCTCTGAGGTGAAAAATCCTGCTTTCCCCTGTCCCACTTTCTCTCTCTCTTTTCATCCAGTAAAGGAAGAGGTAGGATCCCCCACCCCACCCCACCCCCAGCTCTTTCCTCTCCTTCCCTGTAGTGAAATCTGTGGAATTCCCTGCCACTGGACTGCCTCTAGTTCTAGGTGGTTTGAAAATGGGGTTACACAGGTCGGCTAAGGACTGACCTGTCACGGACTGTTGGTCATTGTGGCTTCTACTTGGACACATTCCCAAGTTCAGAGATAATATGCTTCTGAATGATACAGCACCTGGGAAGCAGCACCACCAAAGTATTGCCTTCCTGTCTTGTTTGTCAGCTTTTCCCAAAGGTTGGCTGGTGCTCAGGAACAGGGTGCTGGGCTAGTCTGGCCTTCTGGCTGAACCAGCAGGGCTGTTCTTGTGTTGTGCTGTTTCCCTCCTAATTTTTGTTTGGGGAAGAGTTGTATGTAGCGCATGTGGTAAAACATCTGCTTTGTAGGTTCATTCTCCCCCAGTTCCAGGTAGGGCTGGGAAAGACCCCCCCCCTTCTGAAATTCTGTAGAACCACTTTCAAGTGTGAGACAACTTCCGAAGTTATTTTAGAGGCAGGGGTCTGTTTTTATGCCTCTGTAACTCAGTAAATCTACTGCAAAACCTACAGTGGCACAGTACCAAAATGCCCCAAAATTATGATCATTGTTTTGTGACAATTTGCTTGGTCCTAGTAAAAGTAATGCCCAACTTTGGATTCTGCAGTTGTTTTTCTTATGGGCCAGCATGGCTATATTTGTTACTCAGTAAATGCATATATCATCATATAACTTGACAGTGCTGTGTCAGCAATAAGAAGAACCTGGCTTAACTTGCACAGAATATGTTATGTATGCCAATATATAGACACCCAAATGGAATATATGAACGTAAGCAACTACCTTATAATAGAATGGACCACAATTGGGCTTATAGCCTTTCCTCCTCCATGTGTGAAGGTCTGAAACGGATCTGGTGCAAGCAGATGTTGAGGGTGAATCTTAATATGTATGCCTCTGTCCCTCTCCTAATTTAAGCTCACTTACTTTCTTGTGAATGTGTAAATAGGGCTATAATGGAATATGGGATGTACATGGACTCCATGTTGGAAAGAAGCTGCACATTATCCTGTGTGCTGAATCAGGTGTATGGCTTCAGGAGGTGGTTTTTGTATAATTTCAGCATTCATCACTGAATGCAAACTAATATTTTTATGCATATAGGTGCTTTGTATCTTAAAAGTATAAACAGTTGTTGAATATCAACATTGACTTGCAGCTGTCTGTTTCCTTGGCAGGCATCAGCTTTTCTTTATTGGAGTAACACGTTTTATTTGTTATTGATGGATCTGAAGTACATGTGATTTAGGCAAACACAGGGGCAAAGTTTGTTTCAGTACAGCATTTGGAAATGGCTCTTAGTGGCAGTGTCCTAGTTAGTAAACATTTCCAATCTGAAAAAAATAGCATCAAACTCTAGTAATTTTGATACTGAATTAAACAAAATTTAGAATTCCTCTCTAGTTCAAAGTGTATATGGTATTATTTCCAATTCAAATAAAACTGGATGTTTATTTATGGATGAGCCATTTCCTAACATGCTACCATACTCAGTATCCAGAGCTGAATATGGGGCTATGCAGATATAGGAGGCTTGATTCCTTACTGGCTAGAGTGTCCAGAAGAGCAAAACAAGTTTAGTCCCCACCACAATGGTAGCCAATTCTTTGTTTTCCTTTTTGTTATGCTCTGTCATAGCTCTGGGAAAAATATGGTGTTGCAGTAGAACAGTATGATGGTAGTTGCAGAACTTGCTCACACTTAGTATCTCAGTCACTGCCATTAGCGACACTACTGGGATCTTGAACATCTTTAACCTTCTAAAAGTAGATGCAGGGTTGCAAGAGATGAGAGCAATGGGTTTCTTAGCTCCTTCACTTAATAAACAAGCAAAGCAATAAAAGCAATACCCAAGTGCCAAGTTGATGAGGAAGAAAAGTGAACCTTCTGGTTTGACAGAGGTTCCTTTCCTTCTACTTGGGGTTTGGGGGTTATATTTGATTTGAAGAAACAGGTAGATGGGCATTGTGCCACCTGAAGCATTGGCTTGAATGCTAGATTGGAAGGTGGGCAGTGTGATTGGCAAGAACTCTCTCTTTGCAGGTCAAACTTGGCATGCCTTTTTCCTAGCAGTGATTCATGATCATGTGTGTATGCAAATGTATGGTGCTGCATCTTAATGTTTTAATGTTGTATTTTAATCTTGTTTTTTAAGTTGTATTTTAATCAACTTGTTTTAATTATTGGTTGTTAGCCGCCCTGAGCCCGGTCTTGGCTTCGGAGGGTGGGGTATAAATAAATTATTATTATTATTATTATTATTATTATTAAAATCCATAAAGAATGGATTTTATTTAACCACAAAGTAAGTATCATAATTGTAAAAGCATGGTTGTGTAATGGTTAAAAAAGAGAGACTAAAATGTGATTGACGTTAATTTGAATGCTAAGAACTTCAGAACTAATGCCAAGTCTTCTTACTTATTTAGACATCTGACATAGTTATACCAGTAGTGTTACAGAGAACACTTTGATGCCACGACAGTAGCATATCCAGGTAAGAATGAAACAATAGAGATTTACAAAATCAGTTCATATTGTTTGAGCACGTTACATTTTTAATATTCAGCACAACACTTTCTTTAATGTAATTTGGGCAGATATAGCATGGTTTTAGCACTGAAGCTTGAGGCTTTGGGAAAGAGAACAATTCCTTTTAAATCGTTATAATAACATTTCGATGTTGCTGCTATGAAACCCTCCATCTGTATCTCTCTTAATTAGAAAGATAGTCAGTTATAGATGCAGTTTACACTGCCAGTTTACAAGTCAGACACTCAGAACTGGTGATGAAAAATATCCCTACTTGCTGAACACTTGGACTGCAATCCTCTACTTGCTTACCTGGTAGTAAGCACCACTGAACTCAGTTCCGAGTAGACATGTATAGAATTATGCTGTTCATATAATATGAAATATTTGAAAGATATTTCAAATTCATATCTTTGCATAGAATGAATTTATTTACCTTGGTCCTTAAAAGACAAAATAGTGCCTTCTTTATTGTTGAACTTTCAGTGGACTATAGGTGGAACAAATAAATCCTTATGGACCAATATGTAGTTAACTACCTCGTCATTTTTCAGTAGCAAAGGTTTCTTTAAGTCTTGCAAGTATAGAAGGCTGCAGAATTGTTCAACCAGTTGCTATGGTGATGCCGTGATTGTGTACATTATCCCTCTGTGAGGTCACCAAGGCATCATGAACAAGGATTACTGGCAAAAATGAGTCAGCTTTTCAAGGTTGTTGACCAACTTTATCAATATTTCATGTTTCATTAATTATTATTATTATTAATAATAATAATAATAATAATTTTTTATTTATACCCCGCCCTCCCCAGCCAAGACCGGGCTCAGAGCGGCTTACAAGCAATAATAAAAACAAGAAGAATGATTACAACTTAAAAACAAAAATAAAATACAACATTAAAATAATGGAACATTAAAATATTAAAATGTAGCCTCATTGCAGGAGGAGAAGGAAAAGAAAAAAGAAAGAGAGGGAGGGAGGGAATCAAATTGGCTCCAAGCCAAAGGCCAGGCGGAACAACTCTGTCTTACAGGCCCTGCGGAAAGAAATCAGATCCTGCAGGGCCCTGGTCTCATGAGGCAGAGCGTTCCACCAGGCCGGAGCCAGAGTTGAAAAGGCCCTGGCTCTGGTTGAAGCCAATCTAACTTCCTTAGGGCCTGGGACCACTAGGGTGTTGTTATTTATGGACCTTGAGACTCTCCGTGGGGCATACCAGGAGAGGCGGTCCCGTAGGTATGAGGGTCCTAGGCCGTGAAGGGCTTTAAAGGTCAAAAGCAGCACCTTAAATCTGACCCTGTACTCCACCGGGAGCCAGTGCAGCTTGAAAAGCACTGGGTGAATATGCTCCCATGGCAAAGACCCCGTGAGGAGCCTCGCTGCAGCATTCTGTACCCGCTGGAGTTTCTGGGACAGCTTCAAGGGCAGCCCCGCGTAGAGCGAATTACAGTAGTCAAGCCTGGAGATGACCGTCGCATGCATCACTGTGGCCAGGTCGGGGCGGGAAAGGTAAGGGACCAACTGCTTGATGCAGCGAAGGTGGAAAAATGTCGCCTTGGCTGTTGCTGTAACTTGCGCCTCCATGGAAAGGGAGGCGTCAAGGATTACACCCAAACTCTTAACGGAAGGCAATGGCACTAATTGGGCCCCCGCAAGAGAAGGGAGTTGGTCCCTCATCCCCATGCCATCCCGACCTAGCCATAGGACCTCTGTCTTCGAAGGATTTAGTTTCAATCGGCTCCCACGAAACCATCCAGCCACAGCTTCCAAGCATCTGGTCAGTGTGTTTGGGGCCGAGTCGGTGTGACCATCCATCAGCAGATAGAGCTGAGTGTCATCAGCATATTGGTGACAGCCCAGCCCAAAGCTCCGGATAATCTGGGCAAGGGGGCGCATAAAGATGTTAAAAAGCACCGGGGAGAGAATTGTGCCCTGCGGCACTCCACACACCAAGGAGTGGCGCGATGACATTTCCCTCCCTAGTGCCACCCTCTGTCCCCAACCAGAGATAAAAGAGCACAACCAGTTATGGGCTATGCCCTGTATCCCCACGTCTGCGAGGCGGTGGTCCAGAAGATCATGATCGACCATGTCAAAGGTTGCTGACAAATCTAAAAGGATCAGCAGTCCTGACCCGCCTCGATCCAGTTGTCTATGGATATCATCTGTTAGGGCAACCAGAGCCGTCTCCGTCCCAAAATCAGGACGGAAACCGGACTGAAATGGATCTAATGCCGATGTTTCCTCCAGAAACCTACCAAGCTGTTCAGCAAACGCTCTCTCAATTACCTTACCCAGGTATGGAAGATTTGAAACTGGGCGGTAATTGGATAGGTCTAAGGGATCTAATGAAGTTTTCTTTAAGAGTGGACACACCACTGCTTCCTTCAGTTCCCCTGGGAATGTCCCCGTGTCAAGGGACAAATTGATAATTTCAACCAGGGGGGTCCGCGCAACATCTGGACACTCCCTAATCAGCCAAGACGGGCACGGATCAAGGAGGCAGGTGGTGGGCCTACCAACTTGGAGGAATCTATCCACATCAGTAGGGAGTATCCGATCAAAATGGTCCAACACTGGACCTGAAGTCAGTCGAGGGGCCTCCAGTTCAGTCACTGTATCTAAATTGGCAGGGAGGTCACGGCAGAGCAACAGGACTTTCTCCGCAAAAAAGCTCGCGAATGCCTCACAGCTGTGGGTCGAATTTGTGCTTAAATTTGGTTGTCCTCCTAAGGACGTTATTGACCTAATTATTCTAAAAAGTTGTGCCGGGCGAGAGCTAGCGGATGCAATGGAAGCTGCAAAGTAAGATTTCTTAGCAGCTTTCATAGCCATCTCATAGGCTTTCATAAGCGTCCTATAAGATGTTCTTGAGGCCTATAATTAATGTTCTTAATTAAATTAAGAATAGATGTTAAGATATTGATTCAAATTTGTTGAAAGTGAACGTACAGAATGGAGTTAAAACCTATGCAATTAGATGTGCTCGGACATGTTACCAGAATGTTTTTATGAGAATGTTTACAAAAATTGGCATGATTCATAACAAATAGTTACTAATTTGCTGTGTTTTATTATTTTCCTTTATAAATGGTAAATATGCATTTCTTTGAACAGAGTTTTATTATAACGCAATGAATCTACTAGTGCAGTAAAAGGAAAAAAGGATATGAAAATAAAGTGGCATGTCATAGGACTCTGGTTGAAGTCATTTTTTATTTCAGCGGTGAGCAAAAGACACTTGCAAGCTCAAGTGTGTCCAGTATTCTGCCATACAGAACATACTGTGTATTAATACATCCTGGATAATCTAATCCTGTAATGAAAGGGGTGAAACACTTAACAGGTCAACATCTTATAAAGCATTACTAAGCAGCACAGTTGCTAAGGATTGGTTTTTCTTTGTTTTTTTCCCCAGAAACATCACAAACCCAAAATATGATCCTTGAGATATGTCTGTCAGTTCAAGAGGTGAGAAATATATTATCATGCCATGACTGTTTTTAAGAATGTGTTTTCACCATGCAATAGTTGTCTACATTAAAAAAAGGAAAAACGTGCATTAAAACCTGTGGCTCCCACCCCTCCAAAATGATGAGACCTGAAACTCAGTTTTATAGTTTCCTTTAGTCCTTTGATTCAGTTTTTATATAGGTACATTACTACACTACGCTATGTTTCACACAAGGTATATTTTATTCATTATCGGAAAATTATTTTGAGGTTCTCCTATGTTGTGGATCTTATGATTATTATTTTTAAAAAGCTGTGTCTGTCTTGGCAAACATCTGTAAAAATCTTTAAAGTATTAAAGATATAATACTTTGATAGCGCTCTGTCTTGCTGTCTCTGTCCAGCATGGTTTGTGGGCTTGACATGTTGCACTCTGATGTCATTGTTGTTAAAAAGCTTCTGCTCTCCATTTCTGCCTGAACCAGGAATTTACAGTCCATCTATGCTTCATTTCTGCTGCCCTTTACTGAGCTGCGGCTGCTGTATTATGACAGGTTATTTGTGTTGGGTATGCTTTGTTTTGTTTTGACTTTCACGCTTGTTTTACACAGAGCCAGCCTTCTACACACACTGCTGACTTTCTTAAGTGAAGGATGTGGGGAATACTTTGATTGTGGAACAGGTGTGTGCATTAGCTCAAATGGCAAACATAAAGCCTGGTGGCAAAGTTAAGAAAGCATAGTCTCTTTATAGCCCTTGATACCCTTTATTTCTCTGTTTTTTTCCAGGAGGCAGCCTTCACCTTAACATGATGCCATGAAACTTGTCAGAGTCCAGCTATTATTTTAACTTTAAAAGGTTACTGAGCAGGTATGGAAATTGTCCCATGTATAGCTGGTGATACTTAGCATCCTTATCCAAACACATTGTTATCAATGCAGTCAAACCTCATTTTGCGGACAAGATCCGTTCCGGAGACCCGTCCGCAAGCCGAAAATGATGCACGTCGAAGTGCTGCATCTGTGCATGCACAAGGGGCGAACCCGGAAGTAGCCCATTCCTTCTGGGTTTGCCACGGAAGTTCGCTGAAGCAGACGCAAGTGGAGGCAGATGCAGAATGAGGTTTGACTGTATAATAAAGCAAACATGGATTAATTCCATTTCTTCTGTCAAACAAAACCCAAGATAGTTGTGACACAAACATAGGTGCTGGCTCCAATGGTGGTTGTTTTTTTTGGGGGGGGGGGCTAGGAATTACAACTAGCAGATTTATTATTTAAATGCTTATTTTGTCAGCTAGTTGACAAATCCCACTTTGTGACCTCATTCACATGACACAGTAAGCCAGATTATGGTTTGTAGTCATTTTGTCCCTGCCTGCTCTTTTTTATTCTCTCATTGTGCTGAGCTAGGTCAAGGTATGACTTAGCATGTCCAAACCAGTGATTGTGGTTAAGCTGTTTCCTTGCTAAACAGGAGCTGCAGCCAAGAACAAAGCCAGCCCAGTGTATTGTAACAGTTTAGTTTATAAATGTGACTTCAAAAGCCCACTTCCGTCAGTGATTCCATTGTTTTGCTATTGGCTGTAATCCTAGTATACTTACAAGGGCACAAGTAGCCCTCTCTTTTTCTGCTAAAGAAACACCTGCTCCCATGCTTACCTGCCTGTGTCTTTCTTCCAAGTGCCCCACACCATCAAAAGTGAAAACTGAAATCAGCTGATAGGGAGTGGTGCCTGAATCTTTCCTTTTTATGGTTTTTTTTAAAAAAACACTCTGGGACCAGGGCCCAACTCCAGTGGCAAAACAACATTCCCATGGACTGACCACGTTTTTAACAGAAACATTAGCTGAAAGAGTAATAGGTCAGTTGTAATAAACTGCTTCCTGTTTCGTTCCTGTGGATTGGTTATTAGTTGACATTTTAGCAGTGTCTTATTATTTGAGTTTGTGTCCCATCCATATCTGGAGCACAAAGCCTGTGGCCCACATAGTTTTAAAAAAGTATTTATTTATTTATTGCTGCCATAGATTACAAATGGTGTGGATTTTTATCATGAACCGGATGAACCCACAGAGCAGTTCTCCCAGTCAGCGTAGGCGCATGGCTCTTGGAATTGTCATTCTTCTCCTTGTTGATGTGATATGGGTTGCTTCTTCTGAACTCACTTCGGTAAGTGTGTCTTGGGGCTCATCCACCCCCTTTACCTTTGCTCTGCATTTCTAGGCACAGCTCCGGGATGTTTTACTTGAGAAAACCTGCTCTTTACTGCTGAATCAGAGCAAACAGCAATCTGTGGAAAACTCAAATTGCTGTTTGCTCCGATTCAGCGGTAAAGATCTGCTATTCCTGGGGAAAGTGGCAGGACAAAAAGATAAAACTTTCGAACACGAACCGGGAAAGCGCAGGCTTGTGGCTAGAAAGCGCGGGGCAAAAACTAGTGTGGACAAACTCTTTATGATGTCAGAGTGTATTCACCTTAATGTAGTAGGACAGCATGCTCAAGGGAGAGCAATTAACACTCACTCCATTAACTTTGTACAGTGATCTTAGTACTTGCTTGCTAGAAGCAGGTTGACTGGTTCTTGGTGAGCAGCTTTTCATACCTGACTAGCTACATTTCTGGTCCTGCCTGAAGCCTTTCCCAGCATTTATGCTGTCACGAATTATAATTAACTTCAATTAATCTTGCCAGTTCTTTTTCATAATTCCAAATCCCCTATAAGTATGACTTTTAAACAGCAAACTCTTAACAAAACACAGTCTTCCATAGATATGCTGGGGCCCCAATTTTTTGGGCAGGAAGTCCTAAACTGGGAGAAGAATTGTAGCTTTCAGGGATTCCTATAATAATATGAAGCTGAATGAAAATGTTAGACTAGGTGACAGTGTAGAGATGAAGACATTCACAGATCCTTTTGATTGGATACAGAAATTGCTGCCTTAGGGTAAGCAGTTCTCTCTATATGCTAAATCTCTGAAGGTGGGCTTAGCAAAGTTTATGGGGACATCCTTAGGATGTCTATATCCGTTACAATAAAGTGAAAATCGATACTCCTCTAGCAGGCTAGGGCAGCATACATGGGATTGTCTCATTTTTATCTTTACACCCACCTTACAATATAGTTTAGGTTGAGAGAGAAGTGAGAGGCTCAGGGTCCCCCACTGAGCTGTGTGTGGTAGTTTAAGCCCAGAATTGTCTAAGTCAGAGAGTCAATTCCCTAAAACCAGGGTGGGCAGCCTGTGACTCAGGGGCCATGTTTGCTTCCTGTCTTCATTTTATGTAGCCCCCTACAGGCCAATTTTTCTTTCCATCAGAGTTCCTTCCTTCATGATTTGTTGGATCCTATTTTCACTGGCTTTTAAAAATGGTTGGTCTCTGTGTCTATGTAGTTTCAGAACAATTGGAAGGGATGTTAATCATTTGATGAAAATAAAACTGGTGTGTTTTCTTTTCTTTGCTTCCCTCCCTGATTGTGTGGTTTGAAGAGCGCATCGGCAGGCTTCTCTCCCTTTTCTCTGCAGCCTGATGGAATGGCTGCCCGTAGGTGAAAACTGATTTTAGTTTCATCAGCCGCTGACAGCAGAACACATTGGTAGGGTTGTGCTGAGTCGGAAAGGAGTTACTTTCAATTCCCACGTATATAGGAGGAAACCTACATATGTAGTTAAAACCCCATCAATCCTGTGAGGTTTACTTCTGAATGGACCAGTATAAATTTGTTATCTTCATCAGCTGCAGAGTGGAGGGAAAGAGGCGATTCCATCACACCTACTGAGCAAATAGCTGCCTTTTAGCCTACTTAGCTGTTCATTAGGCTACATGAACTGTTTCCATCCTCATTTTGGTGCCTCCCATATCCCCTTTGTGTCCTGACTTTCAAATTGTAAGCCTAAGGGTAGGAACGTGTTTTACTGCTGATTTTCTTAAGTTACTTTGGGAGCATTTCGAGCTGTGATGGGGTGTGTGTGTAAATATTTTAAATAAATTTCTTAGCCAGAGTAGTTGACCTCCAAGCAGCTTGTGAGTTCCTCCTGTTTTCAAAGGACTGTGGTCTTCCCTCCCTAGGTGTGGGGAACAACTACAAACGTTTTGAAGCTTTTCTGTATAAATCTGTATTTCAGATTTTGGGAACAGGATAGTATTGCAAAGTCTCTCTCTCATTTAGCCTCTGATGCAGTCAGGTAGGTTGCAAGCTGCCATTCCTGCACAGGACAACCCACTTCTCTTATCATGTCCCTCTGTACTTCCTCCCTTCCCAGGAGTTGATGCTCTTGACATCAGCTGCCCTACAGAAGGATCCACCTCAGCTTTTTAGACTATTTCTGCTTTCTATCTAACATAGGTAGCCATTGGAATGCCATCTTCTCAGGTCTGTCCTTGAATCTAACCCACAGCAGGTAAAAGTTGCAGGGGGCCAGAAGCCTCATACCAGAACACCATACTGCCATGTGCCAGAACAGCTTCCCACCCCCAGTTGTTGGCTCTCTTGGCTGGTGGTGTAGTGGGCAATCCTGAGATACACACCCAGGAGCACTGCATCTCTTCTCTTCCTTTTCCAGGATATGTAGCTTTTTCTTGCTTGAACTACACCTCTGCTCTTTGTATGTCTGTCCACCGCAGGGGGCTAGCTGGTGGACCTCCAGATGTTGTCAGACTCCACTTCAATCATCCACAGCCAGCATGGCTAATGTTCATGGTGGATGGGAACTAGTCCAGCAACATCCAGAGGACCATATGGTAGCCCTCCCATGGTCTGTGATGGTCAAGAAATTTGAAATAGTACCAAAGAGTTGATCAGTAAGACTATTCTGGACATATGACATGCCTTTCATTTAACCATCTTTCTTTTCCTTCCCTTTGCAGTATGTTTTCACTGTGTACAATAAGCCGTTCTTCAGTACATTTGCAAAAACATCCATGTTTGTTCTTTACCTCTTGGGATTTATTGTTTGGAAACCTTGGAGGCAGCAGTGCACACGTGGCCTTCGCGGCAAACATGCGGCTTTTGTAAGTGCCTATTTTCCATTTAATAATTTTGCCATCACTTTGGCTTCTGTAAATTACACAAAATCAAAGCTTATGTTGGAGAGGGAATCCTGCATAAACTAGCATAAGCTAAACCCCCAGATGTTCAGTGAGCAAAATAATGCTTTCATTAGTCTAACATTTCAAAGTGAATCATTGCATAAACAGAAGCAGTAATTGCATCATTAATGCTTCTTAGTGGAATTGAAATGGAATAAATGATATAAAATTTAAGATGTGCCTAGAATCAGTATTTGGACACGTGGCTTATATTTTTTGCTATGTTCTGCCAGTTTTGAAATGTTTTTATTAACCGTTTTAAAAAGATGTCAGTAAATGTTTTTGGGGTTTTTTGAGATTTATTTCTCTTGAACTGGTCTACAAAGATTCAGCAGAGTTTTCTCTTTTGATAAAAGACAGTGGCAGTGGTGGTGGTGGTGAATGAATTCTTTATCAGACACATTTTTCATGCTTTCCAAATTGTATTTAAAAAGCTGGGAATTGGTTAGCTAATCCATGTTTCTCAACAAGACATAGCCAATTCATCACCCTTAGACTCTACTGGAGTCCAGAAAAGCTGGAAGCATTTCTACCTTGGCTGAAGAGTGCTCTCTTGATGAACAGAGAACAACCCAGCACATGAATGTGGAAACCCATAGCAATAACACTGCAAATCCTTTGATCTCTGATGGAATAGTAGGGATCCCACACATTGACCGGGTTGGCACAACACACAGTAACCCAAACCATGGCTTATCATGACCACACAAGCATGCCAGCCTCCAGAGCAGAGATTATGCCCTCCTCCCTGTTCCCTTTTACTGCCACTCTGAGCTAATGGTTTGATATAGCATGTTGTCCAAAGCAGGGCTTGTTCTTAAGCTCTCTGCTAACCATAAGCTTTTGAAGATGGGGAAGGTTTTGAAGATGGAGAAATCACCTTCCTCCTCAGGTCTGTTTTTAATATTTTGGACTGGACAGGAAAGCTGGGAGCACAGGAAAATGATAGATGCTGTGTTGTTTTCCTATTCCCCTGCACTTTGAGGGCTGCTAAACAGAATAGTAAAGGCTACAGTGTGAAAGTTTTAGGTAAACAAGGACTTCAAAAGCCCTCTTCCTCAGTTCTGGTTTGTGGCTCCCAAATATTACTTATAAGGTCTGAGATTGCAGAGTGATCTTGTGAAAGTTTGACTACTTATAGTTAGCTCTTAAGTTGTTTGAAGAGGAACTGTTCAAACAGGAAACTTTAATGTTTTATAAAACTAGTTATTTTGTATAGTTGCTGGACTAAAGTTAATTCAGGCTGCCAACTAATTCCTGGATAATCAAATGAATTTTTTTTTATTTGTTTTCGACTGACCATAAGTTTGGCTGGTATTAAGCGTATTCCAGAAAATAGGCTATCTGGGGAAATCATACAGCTGGTGGTTGGCAGTCCGTTTAATCAAGAGAACCCTATCACACTGGTTTTGTAGAACTAACGTGTTTCTCTGGCCCTTTCTTGGAATAGGCTTCATGCCAGAATAGACTTGGCTTTGAAGCTGCAGCAGCTTGAAACTAGCCTAGCAGCAAGCCAAGGGGCAAGAATGGAGATGGATCTGTTTTTTCTTCACCAGTGGGCTAGTCTTCCTGAGTCCCATCTCACCTGAAGTTATTGACGACAGTGTCATCAGTGTGAGCTCCCGTTGCTCTGTCCCAGCTCCTGCCAAACCTAGCAGTTCAAAAGCACGCCAGTGCAAGTAGATAAATAGGTACTGCTGCGGCGGGAAGGTAAACAACATTTCCATGAGCTCTGGCTTCCATCACGGTGTCCCGTTGCACCAGAAGTAGTTTAGTCATGCTGGCCACCTGACCCGGAAAACTGTCTGTGGACAAACACCGACTTCCTCAGCCTGAAAGCAGGATGAGCGCCACAACCCCATAGTCTCCTTTGACTGGACTTAACCGTCCAGGGGTCCTTCACCTTTCTTTTTTTTAACTTCAGTGTGGAATATGTTGTTTTTACTCTACACATTCATTGTAATGTCTCAGCTGAATTTTAAATGTTTAGTTTGCAGATGCTGAAGGCTATTTTGCAGCCTGTACAACTGACAATACTGTAAATAGTTCTTTGGTAAGTTCTCTCTCATTTAAATGATTGTAATGTTCTGTGCGGCAACAGTAGCAGACAGCAGGGTGGGACAGTGGGGTTCTTACCTGACCTCTCTGTAGATCCATTTGCACAGCACCAACCTCCCCACTGTCTTGTCCCTCCCACTCTCCTTCCCAGGAAGCAGCAGTGGCCTACCTCCCAGGAGGTCAGATAGGTGCTGCTGCCCCTCCCTGCCATCTACTACTGTGTGGTAATAGTTATTCATGTCTTGTCTGTTTTTAATCAGTGCTGAAAATAAACACAGAGCTCTGAATAATGCCATTTTAAATAGGAACCGGATTAGGGAAAGTAAACGTATATGGCATGTGAGCAAAAATGAATCTTGTTTACTAGGGAATGTTCTGCTTGGCCCATGGAATTATTAAATACATGTGGTTCAAGCACTTCAGTCACTCAGTTATAGTTAAACATTGTTTGCCTAAAATGCCATCATGTAATGCAAGATAAAGATATACACACACAACCTTATTTTTTCAATATGAAGAATCTGCGGCAGGTATAAAAAGCAGTGAAGTGCCCAGGTGGAAAATTTCTATGGCCATGTTGCATTATCTTAATTTGTCTGCAACTGTAGCCTATATTGTATAGGCACTCTCTCATTAAGTTGTGGCTGAATATCCAAAACAGTAAAATCTATAAGGCCATCTTCAAAACACGTAGTTAAGCATATTATCTGTCCTTCCCTGGAAACTCATTAGCGACAATCAATAAGGAGCAAAAAAAGGCAAAGTTGAAATACTTGCGCCGGGCAGACATCCACAGCGTGGGGAGCCCCGCGGGACTCCCCACGCTGCGGATAGCAGCCTGCCGCCCGGTGCGCGGTAAGCCCTGAAGCAGAGCACCCTGCACGCCGGGCAGACATCCACAGCGTGGGGAGCCCCGCGGGAACTCCCGCAGGGCTCCCCACGCTGCGGATGTCTGCCCGGCGCAAGTATTTCAACTTTGCCCTTTTTTGCTCCTTATTGATTGTCGCTAATGAGTTTCCTGCAGATAGCAGCCTACCGCCCAGCGCGCGGGGTGCCCTGAAGCAGAGCGCCCCGCGTGCCGGGCAGACATCGGCCAGCCCCACAAGCTCGGGGGACAGCGGGGAGGCGCAGCGCCTTCATCCCACTGTTCCCCGACCTGGTTTGGGGGGGGAAATAAAGGGGGGGAAATTCCCCCCCCCAAAAAAATTAGGTGCGTCCTATGGGACGGAGCGTCCTATGGGACGAAAAATACGGTACCTAAAAAAACAAACCACCAATTAGAGTTAAAGCCGTTAATCCATCAATCCAAGGGAATGTGGTACTCTGCTACTGGAAATATCAGAACAAGTATTTGAATTCTCCCACATATTTCATTTAAAGAAGGAGGGATACACAATAGGATGTTTTATTTACCTTAAATGGTGAAATGCAGCTCATTTTCTTCTCATCATATGTTCCTTCTTGCTCTTTTTGGTTAACAGTTTTATCGCAAGTTAGCAACTTGTGCACATTTACCTTGCAGTTGGTCCAGCTGTTTTGTACATTGTTTTGTATTTGTATATTGTAGTATACATTAAATCAGTTTATGTCCACATGTACTCAGTAAACATACATAGGATTGCACTGTTAGTAAATTTTATTTGGGGGGGGTGTTATTATTTGGGTGTGTGTTTTTTATAACTTATGATAACTTGGAACTCATTATGTTGCATTTCAGAGTGAACCATTATACGTTCCTGTAAAGTTTCATGACTTGCCAAGTGAAAAATGTAGCAACACTAACAGTGACACTGAAAAAAGTAAGTAAATGCTTCAAAATGTCAAACTATAGTTTTCTGTATCAACTTATAAATATTTACAGTGGTGCCTCGCAAGACGAAATTAATTCGTTCCGCAAGTTCTTTCTTCTTGCGAGTTTTTCGTCTTGCGAAGCACGGTTTCCCATAGGAATGCATTGAAAATCAATTAATGCGTTCCTATGGAAACCGCTTGCCAGGCTGGCGGTGGGGAGAAGGGCTTTTCTCCCCACCGCAAGCCTTCAGGACAGGTACGGGAACAGAGGGGAAGGCGCGCAGCGCTTCTCCTCTGTTCCTGGGGCTTGCGTGGGAGGAGGGTTTTTCCTCCCCACCGCCAACATTCAGAACAGCATTCTGAATGTTGGCGGTGGGAAGGAAAACCCTCCTCCCACCCCAAGTCTTCAGGACAGCCATCCGATGCCGGGCTGCGGGAGGAGGCGTTCCCCCCCCCCCCGCCCGGCATTGGAGCTTCGTTCCGATGTCCGTTGGAGGGAGGAGACGTTCCCCCCCCCCCCCGCCGGACATCGGAGCTTCGTTCCGATGTCCGTTGGAGGGAGGAGACGTTCCCCCCCACCCGCCGGACATCGGAGCTTCGTTCCGATGTCCGTTGGAGGGAGGAGACGTTCCCCCCCCCCACCGGACATCGGAGCTTCGTTCCGATGTCCGTTGGAGGGAGGAGACGTTCCCCCCCCCGCCGGACATCGGAGCTTTGTTCCGATGTCCGTTGGAGGGAGGAGACGTTCCCCCCCCCCCCGCCGGACATCGGAGCTTCGTTCCGATGTCCGGCGGCGGGAGGAGGTCCGAGGACAGTGGGGAAGACGCGCTGCGCTTCCCCGCTGTCCCGGAGATTTCCCTATGGGCTTTCGTCTTGCAAAGCAAACATGTTGAAAGTATGAAAGCAATGTTTCCTGTGTTACCTAAAAACCTGTGTGCCCACATGGCCTGAAGTACAGTATTTTCTAAATATGGTAACAGGTAAAGATGCTCAGTAGTAAAACAGAGATAATCTGTTAAGATGCTTTTTTACTTTTAATTTTTTAAAATATCGGAGAATTGACAATTACATCAATTTTTGGACTTCATGCAGAAGGCAAATGCTAAAATGAACAATTGACGAACACTGCATTGGAGAAGGGAGCATATCCCAAGTTTAATTTTTTTGTGTGTGATTTCACAAATTCAGTGGAATTTTCAAAATTCAGTGGAATTTTGAAAAAATATAGCACATTATAATTTTGGGAAACTGAAACTTAGCAAATACAGCTTGCTATTTTTGCATGTTAGCACAAATTGGCTGCATTTTATGGTAAGCCATAGTTAATAGCTTTTCATAAACCCACAGAAGGCTTCTACTTCACTTCTCCCCTCTAGCTAATGGCAGAAACATACCACAGTCCCCGATTTAGCGCTATGTCTGAACTGGTGGTTGTGGTTTGTTTCACTCAAATCAAAGTTTGCTCTTGGTTAACATCCATAGCTTGCTTGAGCAAAACAAATTCCCCACTTGGACATCACACAATGATTGGCCATCATGTGCAAGGTGGGCCTCTTTCTCTTTGTTGCACAATTTGATCTTGTATTTATTACAAGGTGGCCAAACCATTGTAATGTGAACATCCTACGACATGACAGGTTTAGCCAATTGCTGCCAGAGGCATTACTGCAGCCTCAAAATACAATAGTGTGTTCTAATATAGATTCTATATGTTCCCCCTAGTGTATGTATTGCAATGTGGATTTAGTCCTGAGAGTATGTTGGTTCCTTTTACATGCATTGATCTGTATGTGATGAATGAAAGTTGAACAACACAGTTCAGTTGAAGCCTGGGAAATCATCTTTGCTGTAGATCAGTTTCTCTAAGAAACAAGTACATGGGCCTAGAAATAGACTAACAGGATTTTGTAACCAATGGCTGTTCTAAGCCTTTGGGTGGTTTTACCACAAGATGGTGTACTAGCCATACTTAAACTAGCTTAAAGACAAAGTTGTAATATTAAATACTTAACTTTGCCCTTCTTCTGAGAACATGTTTATGGAAGGCATCTTCCATAAAAGAGAAGTAGCTGCACCCAAAGTGAGGAAGCCTGGCCCGTTCCTTAAATACAGTGAATATGTTTAATGACGATAGAAACTCTTAAAGCCACAATTTTCAATTACATCTCTTCTTTTGCGCCAAATGGATAATCCATGTTCCTGACACACACAAACCATTTTGCTCTCATAAAACTAACTGTGCAAGTAGTTAAACATGGGTTCATACTCTGAATTGCAATTTGGGAGTCTTGGCCTTATCTTGAGGATTATTATTTTTGTTCTAGTCTGCTACGTATAATAATGACCTGCACCACTCTTTTCCCCCCTAAAGCTCCCAAAAAGCCTCGTGTAAGGTTCAGTAATATTATGGAGATTCGACAACTCCCATCAAGCCATGCATTGGAAGCAAAGCTGTCTCGTATGTCTTATCCAACAGTTAAGGAACAGGATTCAATATTAAAAGCTGTAGGGAAGCTTACCGCATCTCAAGTAGCCAAAATCAGCTTTTTCTTTTGCTTTGTGGTATGTCACCTTTTCTTTATTAAGTATTGTTTCTAAATATATATTATTGGGAAGTTGGTTATTTTGTATTCTTTTTGCCCTATTATTTATATTTTTCTTTTTGAAGGCTTGACTAAAAATAGAATGGATCATTTTGGGTGTTGAGCTAGTCATTAAATTTTGTTCATGCCATTTAGAGAAAGGGATGATCTTTGGGGGCTGTCTGCTCATTAATTAATTGCTTATAACTGATTGACTTTAATTGTGGTTGTTTACAAAAGACTTCACCACAGTGCATTTTGCAGGTGAGAGAGTTTACAATTTAATAAGCAGAAGTTGTCATTCATCATTAAAAGTAAAGGCTATCTTTAACGTTTTCATTCTCTGTTGCAATAATTCACCCGAATGAAAAGAGCTTCAAAAAATGTGATTTTCACTTTCAGTTCCATTTACCAACACTGATTAAAATTGGCCACCACCAATCTGGCAGATTAAAGTTCCAGCTATAATAATTTATCTCTAGCCACATTTTGAAATAAAATAAAAATCTACTGCATCTTACATTCTAGATGATGGTTTTGAATTTAAAGATAAAAGAGACATTGAAGTATTTCCCATTTCACCACTAGCACAGCAGTGTTAAAAATTATTAGCATTATAGATAGGTGGGACAGACTCCTGTGACCTTTTGGATCTAAAGCAGTGTTGCATTTAGTTTCGAAGTGTATTAGACATTTATATGTACATTTAGTTGATTTTAGTATTTATATATATTATTTAGAATTAGGATGTATATTTGCAGACTTGATTTGTTGTTACTTAACTTATTTCATATGACTGTATCTGGTAAAGTTGGGAAATATGTCTAGCAGTTTCCAAAGAGGAACTTGAGAACCATGGGACAATCATTTATTTCATTGTTTTCAACAAATAGCATGTGATGTGATATGTATGCAATGTTTCTTTTGAACTACGGAGAAATATAGTGGCCCCAATCCTGATAAAGTTAGTAGCCCTTAATTTAATCATGGCTTAATTTGTCCCATGAGACTTAAGTCCAATTGAAACGAATGAACTTTGAGCATAATTTTCTCTTTCAGGTTTGGAACTAATATGTTGGTATTTTGTTAGTTCCAAGCATTTTATATGTCCATTATGTTCAAGGTGTTTTCAAAGCAACAACTAAGTGTCTGAAAGTATGTGAACAATCATTGTTACTTCTAGAATGTTTATCTACTTTTCTTAGCAGCTGCAAACCATTACGACAAAATTCGACATCGTATGAGCAGTTCTTCACTTGTACAACAGAGCTTCCTCTCCTCCACCCACGCCCTCCATCTGCTCCGGAGGATTGGGGATCCTCTGGAGTAGATTTAGGAGGATGGAGTGAAATGTGAATTCCCATTGCATGAGCGGAAGTCTGTCCTGCTTGTGCACACACCATTGGATTTCACACTTGGTATATAAATAACCCAAATTATTTTTTCATCTAACTGCCTAAGCCTTTCATTTCCTCTTAATATAAATTGAATCCCTCCTACCTCCCAAGCATGCTCTCACTATATAGGCAAAGACCTGATTAACCTTTTGGGTTTATTTTTAATGGTTTGTGAGTTTCTTCTAACTTTTTAAAACTAACACATGTTGTTTAATCTCCTAGTGGTTCTTGGCAAACTTCTCTTATCAAGAAGCGCTTTCGGACACCCAAGTGGCCATCGTTAATATTCTGTCTTCAACATCTGGTAAGAAATGAAACTTATAGAAAAGACTGTTGATACACTTAATTTTAGCAACTACAATTCAATAAGCTTGATCCAACTCATTGCATGTTTTAAGAAGGAGATTATTCTATATTTTTGGTTGCAAAACTATACCTGATAATTTTCTTTCTTTCTTTCTTTCTCTCTCCCCCCCCGAACTTCAAGTGTCTTTTTCTGTTAAAAAACCAACCATGTCCCATGCTCAAATTGTATTTCTACAAGGCAAGAGCAAGTAAACAGAATTTCCTCTAACAATTTATTTCGTTGGCATTCTTTAAAAGATGCTCTGAATGTTTTCTAGAAAGTTGGGATGCACATTTTGATAACAACGAATCATTTTTAAAATGCTGAGTAGGAGGGGATTCTGGTTATGTTCTGAACAGTCCCCCACCCGCTGGTAATTCAGTATTGGCTCAGCATGAAAAGGCAACATGAACAAAGGACTCCGATAACACATAATCTTTATTATACATGAACCTAGTAAGAGCTAAAGGATTAAATAATTATTAGATGTAGTCATGCAATCTGTATGCTAAATAATTAATTGTGCTAATAGGGAAAGTCTTACTAAATAAAACTTTGAAACAAAGTGCTTTCCAACTTAAGTTGGTTTTGCGGAGTGTCCTCTGAGAATAATATTGGTTGTTGCCATTGTGTTAGACCCAGGCTACTACCGCTGCGGTCTGAACCATGTCTCAGTGTGGTAGTTCTGTTTAATTTAGTGGTGCTTACTCCTGGGTATAAGGAGCTAGGGCTGCAGTCCTAACCTCACTTACCTGGAACTAAGCCCCATTTAATTTAGTAGGACTTACTTCTGAGTACACATGGTTAATAACATTCATTCATTCATTCATTGAATTTATATACCACCGTATACCCGGAGGTCTCAGGGCGGTTCACAATAAAAATCACAATATATAACATCAAAAATAAAAATAATCCAGTAACATCCCCCCCCCAAAAAAAGAGCCTCCTTTTAAAAAGGTATAGGATGTAAGTTAGTAACAGCTAGATTCCACCGAAATTAATGAAACTTCAGTTGGTTAACTTTTCTACATTTATTTCAGTGGGGCCTAAGTGAGACTAACTTACTTTGGATCCCAATCAATTTTCTTCAACATGTTTTTCAGTGTGTTTCCATCTGGTAAAGTGGTTACAGTATTTCTTTGTATTGTGTATTCAATGTTTCCCCCCCACAAATCTTAAATTCTTTCTTTTCACAGGATTATTTACCTTAATCCTAGCTGCAGTGTTTCCAAGTAACAGTGGTGATAGGTTTACCCTTTCAAAATTGTTAGCTGTCATTTTAAGGTAAGAATATAGACTCCTTAATCTCCAATTTTCTTCTCTCCTACAGGCTTGAATTTTCTTACATTCTTCTAGATAGTTGGATTTAGTAGTGCAGGTTTTGTCACTATTTTTAGGTGCAGCAGATCTTGAACAGCTGTAGGGGAAATAAGTTTGCAGAATACCTGCTCAAATGTTGCTCCTGTTCTGAAAGTTGGTCTGCCAATAATTGCTCATAGCCCCATTTTGCAACATGTAACACAGGATTAGAATTGTCACTGAGTCCTAACCTGAGCTGCTTTGTGTTACTATGGCCAGGTGAACCTTGTTAAATCAGATGACTGTGTGAAATTATCTAATATTAACTTTTCCATAGGGCATTTGGATTGTCTAGTGTACTTAGTTATGAAAATGTTCACATATTAAAATAGCTTATACTTCATCCTAAGGGCTTCTCTACACTTTCAGATATATGTGTATACTTTCTATAAACAAGAAATATAAGAAAATTATATTTGTTTTTGATTATCTGAACCATTATGATGCTTTGCTTTTCAAAGCATTGTTAATCCTGGTTTATATAATTCTGAGTGACATAGGAAAGAAGGAATACAAAATATTAATATACTTATCTCATAATTATAGATAGGCAATATTTTTAAGTGATTTCCACACAAAATGTATTACTAAACTCAGCTTGAACTATAATACTTTATTTCTCAAATAGCATTGGAGGCGTTGTCCTTGTGAATCTGTCTGGGTCTGAGAAATCTGCTGGAAGAGATACAATAGGTACATTTCCCAAAAAATCTGCTTATTATTTATTGAAATATCTGAGTAGACATTACTGTACATTCTTGAGACAGAAACTATAAGAAAATACAACATTTTTTTATCGTAATATATACGGATTGCAGTTGTAGAAGAAGCACTTTCTTTATAAAATAATTTAGATCAGTGGTGGCCAAACTTGGCCCTCCAGCTGTTTTGGGACTACAACTCCCATCATCCCTAGCTAACAGGACCAATGGTCAGGGATGGTTGGAACTGTAGTCCCAAAACAGCTGGAGTGCCAAGTTTGGCCACCACTGCTTTAGATGATATCCACTGTCCTCCAAGGGAATGTCTCTGAATGGAATGGGAATTCTCCTTCTCCCAGCTTTAGTCCCTTGCATCCTCTCTATTCTAGATTATTTCGGGGAGCGCTCTAGAACAGATGGTGTGGGGCCACATAGGGAACTGTAGTCAGAAGTAGAGGAAGATCCATTCTGATCAGGATTAGATGAGGCTGTCACCCTTTTATGTTGTTTTGCAATGCTTTCCCCTTTTGCTTCATATTGTTTGTTTGCTTGAGTATAAATGAAACGTCTTAACAGCATGTCAACTTGTAAGAAATTCAGTCCATAGTATAGCAATTAATACTTTTATTTTAACACAAGTTGTGTGACTTTCTTCTCCCCACCCCCAATCTACAGGGTCCTTGTGGTCTCTTGTGGGAGCTATGCTTTATGCAATCTACATAGTCATGATAAAACGAAAAGTAGACAGAGAAGACAAACTTGATATACCAATGTTTTTTGGTAAGAACAGAACTTGAAACTATACTATTTTCTGTTACCAAGTCTTGCTCACTAGGATCCAGTTTTGTAAAAATGTACGGGCAGCGACCGTTTTAGGCACATCCACTTGATGCGCGATCGCTGATGCGCAGGTCCTTTTGGACCTGGAAGAGGGCAGAATTGTCACTGCCTTTTCCTTTAAGAAACCTTAAGGGCAAATGTACACAGGATATTGAATTGTGTGAACTTTCATGAAATGCTTATACAGCTCCTCTAGACCAGGTACAGTCTTAGCATGTCTTTTCTGCCCATAGTAGGATACCCTACCTATAAGTATCTCCTCTTGTTCTAGCACACACTGCTAATGATGTGCTTTAATCAAACAGTGAGGGTATACCTATTTTAATAAATAAAGTATCTAATTCCAGGTTAGAGGACTATCCTAGCAATTCTACTTATTAATTTTTTTTGAAATTAATCCTGTGAATTTGATGTGACGATTATCTACCAAATGAATCCTGTAAAGAGTCTGACATACATATATACTAGAGAAGTAGTGAAGTTCAAGAGAAGTTCACTACTGTAGAGATACGTTTAATTATTTTGGCTTTGTTGCTAACACTTTATTATTCTGGGTTTTTGCAGGTTTTGTTGGTTTGTTTAATTTGCTGCTGCTTTGGCCAGGTTTCTTTTTACTCCATTATACTGGATTTGAGAACTTTGAATTTCCCAGTAAATTAGTCCTTATGTGCATTGTCATCAATGGCCTTGTTGGAACCGTGCTGTCTGAATTTCTCTGGCTGTGGTATGTGCCTAGCTCTGATTCATTGTTTTATATTAATATCAGGTAGCTATTAAGGAGTCAACAAACGAGGCTGCATTTTACCGAAAGAGCTAGGACTGTTTTTTACAGGGCACTGGTTATTGCAAAATACTGTGTTAAAAGTTATCGACACAGATATCTTTTGTCATCACCAAGAAGCATTAAATTTCATTAAGTGGAAGAAAGACTATGTATGTAATGCAGCGCTGAAATTCCTGGCTCAATAAGCCATGATAGGCATGAGCTGCATCTACCTGCCTCCCCTCCCCCTTTCACATGAGTTGCAAAGCAAACAAGTATGTAGCTTCCCATGATGTGCAATTTGGGAACTATGGTTAAGGTCTTACAAACAAGTCAAGGTTAGGCACTAGCTTTGAACCAGAGTTTAAAGGTGATGTATGAATCCCGGCTTGTTTGCAGCCACTTAGGACTCAGCTTACAAGTCATGCAAGGCTGTGCTTAAGAGCTAAATCCTCTCTTTCTTTCTTACTCATGCAACCAGAGTAGCAAAGGCAGGTGCACTCTGTTAGTGTATATATTAGCTTATTAAGGCAGGGCTCTGCTTGTCCAGAGCAAGTGACCATTGACCCCCAGGCTATTGCCAGAGTTCCCCAACAGCCAGTTGGGAAGCTTCCAGCACAACGCTGTGAAATGTGCACTCTTTCTCTCTTTAAGAAGCCATCTGAGTCTGCAAAAGTACTGTGAATTAAACCCGGGTACATGTCAGTGCTGCGGCGGCAGCATATGCAGTTCAGTTCTCATTCTCCTGCCCAGTCTCATTGCGAAGAAGTCTCAGTTCTTGGCTGGGAAAAGGTTCTAGGTGGTAGTAATGGGAGAGAAGAGGAGCTTCATGGAGAAATAGTCAGAGGGAAATATGTAGGTGCTCTGTGTTCATGTGCAGCTTTGAATCTTATCTGTTGTATGTAGACATTGTTGTATAATTTTTCTGTGATCATCAACCCTGAGTAGGTATCAAGGGGCTGAATAGTGCAATGGCTTTTTGATTACCTAAAATAGTTTCCTTTGAATCAAATTGTGAATGTCCAGTTTGAAGGATCAAGGTCTTGGTATCCATGTTCACTTAGGCTGCAAACCTATACCCATTTTCCTTGTCCTTGGTAGGGCTTGCTTTCAAATAGACACACTTAGAATTACAGTGTTAGTCTCTCACTACTTAATGAATCACTTGATAATGAAAAGTCAAATGTGTGGACTGTCTATAGTGATTTGGTTTGTATTGAATACAGATGATGCAGGTAAATAGTAGTGAGATGCATTAGTTAATTGATGGTGACTCATAAAGATGTGTGAGTCCTCACTTGATTCTGTAATCATTGAGTGAACTGCAATTGGTAGTCCAGTGAAAGACTTTCTTTCCTGTAGGACTAGTGTTGGAATTGGAAATACATTATACATATTAACACTACTTGAGTTGGGCCACAGCTGGGAATTATGATATTTATTTATTTTTGAAAAATAGATTATTTCAAAAGTAAAAACCTGGAATTTGTTAGTTAAATTTAAAAACCATGAGACTTGAGGTGTAGGGTATGTGTGAAACTATTGAGCTGGTTTTTCTCTATTTGTCTTCTGATCTTGGTGCAGTTTGTGTTCTCAGTTTTGTCTCCTCAGCTAAGTAAGGTTAGAAATATTTATATTTAGAGTTTCTTTGTATTATTATCCGTTTTCCAAGTGCTTTGGCTTTCAGAAATGTGTTTAGCAGGCCACAACAGGTCCACAAATTATGCTTATCCATGGTGTATACAACAATGAAACTTGCTTCTACACTTCCCCTGTTTAGTTTTTAAACTCAAGTGTTTTATATTTTAACATTTTCTTAGGGGCTGTTTTCTTACCTCATCACTGATAGGCACACTTGCTCTGAGCCTTACAATACCTCTGTCCATAATAGCCGATATGTGCATGCAAAAGGTAATGTATTTTATTATTTTTATCATTATTAATGACAATTGTAAGAACTGCCCTTGTTAGGACTCTTAGCAATGTCACATGACTAGGGAGAATTTAAATAGCTGTGGTAGGGAAGAATAAGTTGTACTTAATTGCAAGTGACTGCTTTTGCTTCTCCAGCAATATCATTTAATGTTCACTACCTTAAATGCAACCTTCTCTTTTTATAAGGTGAAATAAGTGGGTGGCTTTTTTAAAAAATGGAGGGGGGGATGTAATGGGCACGATCCTTGCAAGCTCACTGATCACATAGGGCATAACAGAGGCCTGTTCCTTCCTTCCCCACCTATCTAGACACATAGAAGTGCCACCAGGGCAATCCAGGACATGAGATGTCTTTGCATGCCTCCCATTGTCCTCCAAGCTCATATTTCTTGACAGAGCAAGGGCTGCATGAGAATGCGGGAGGCACACATGGGCCACCCATTTTCCAGGTTTCTTGGTGCCTGCGTTTGCAGAGCAGGGAAATGGAGCTCTCTTGTCTCTTTCTCAGCCTCTCTGCACAAGGGCATGGAACCTGCTTGGTCACTGAACCAGTGATTAAGCTTTTGAGTCTTTATATACCTTCTACAAATAAAAGACGTTTCCTAACTTGCTAGAATTCTGTATTATAGGAATTAGATCCTGATTACGTGGGTAGAAGGGCTGTATAATTTTGTATGGGTTTAGAAGCCTCAAAGGCAGGCATAGGCAAACTCAGCCCTCCAGATGTTTTGGGACTACAACTTCCATCATCCCTAGCTAACAGGACCAGTGGTCAGGGATGATAGGAGTTGTAGTTCCAAAACATCTGGAGGGTCGGGTTTGCCTATGCCTGCTCAAAGGTCTTCAAAGGTTTGACTTTTCATAGAAAACCCAAGAATGTTGGTGGTTCTAGTTAAAATAAAAGGAGTTAAAAGTGCATGTCCGCATTGCAACATGTCTCCATCATGGTCAAGCTATCATGTTATTGCAGAGGATTTAGGCATGCTTGCTCTTGTAGTTGCCAATGAAAGTCTTGCTGGAAACGTGCTTTGACTTTATCCCTCATTGCTGAACAGAATAAGAAATGGTGCTATAGTAGTTAGGGGTATTTGTCCATGAACAATAAGTTGAGTTAAGTTACCAGCTGTCAGAAATAAGATTACTTTTAGATACAGTTCAGGTTTAATTCTACAGCAGGAAGGATTTTATTGAATCCAGGTAGTTGTTGCTGTTTTTCAAGTAGAGGTGCAGAGATCCTATAGGAACATGGGTATTTTGACAAATGAAAATACTCTATCAGTATGTCAGGGACACAGCAGGAAAACTGTTTAAGTAGATGGCATTAGAAATACCTAAATTACTTGATGAATGAAGCATACGGCAGGTTGTATTTTAGCCTGTCACAGTGGAAGTGTTGTCTCGTTTTCATATTCATTTTTAATGCTGGTAGAATTTGCCCTCGTTGTGACACTTTCATTCTAAAGTGAGACATTTCCAATATAGTGTGAGATTAGCATTTGATGCAGCTACTAGTCTCAGCTGCTAACAAAGGCTTTGGATTGATGTCCAAATAACTTGCACAATTAAGACCCACAAATTAAATAATTCACGCTTCTTTCTGCTGTATCCAATGCTGAAATGCTTCTGATCCCTAGTATACAATGTTTCTTCCTTTGTTTTTTACCTTTCCCCTACCCACTGGCTTTAAGGTCCATGAACTACAAAACAGGTTTTCCCACTTATGGCTCTGTGGAGCTAGGTGGCAGTAGCAAAGTCTTGGCATTGCACGATTTACCTAGCAAGAAGGAAGCAGCAACAAAGAAAGATGGATGCCTGGGTGGAAAATTGGCACAAAACTCTGTCTTCTTCACAGTGGCTGTGTTTGGACGTATTAGTGAAATGCAGTTTATTGTTCCAGGAATGAGCTTCAGCAAGCTTAAGGCTTACACACTCTTTCTTCTCTGCTCCAGCAAGGAGAGGAGATTGGAACGGGCTAGGAATCTGGCTTGCTTCAACAACCATAGTTGAAATTAACTGAAGTTTAACTTTGGTTAATCAAAACTGGAAGCAAAAGCTTCCAATCTTCTCGTGGCTGATTTGGGGGCAGTTCCTGGTCCAGCTGCAGCTCCCCATGACACAACCCAAGCTGTTGAAACGGGACCCATGTGCCTCAGTTGAGACATTTGGAGGGATCTTAACCACTGAGCCTCTTGGGCTTGCTGATCAGAAGGTCAGCAGTTCGAATCCCTGCAACGGGGTGAGTTCTCATTGCTCAGTCCCAGCTCCTGCCAACCTAGCAATTCAAAAGCACGCCAAAGTGCAAGTAGATAAATAGGTACCGCTCTGGTAGGAAGGTAAACAGCGTTTCCATGCACTCTGGTTTTGGTGTTCCGCTGCGCCAGAAGCAGTTAGTCATGCTGGCCACATGACCCGGAAAACTGTCTGTGGACAAACGCTGGCTCCCTCGGCCTGTAAAGCGAGATGAGCACCGCAACCCTAGAGTCGTTTGCGACTGGACTTAACTGTCAGGGGTCCTTTACCTTTACTTTTTAGAGGAGAAGGAAGAAAACTAATTGTGTGAAACAGCCTTTCAACCTTTTGGGATGCAACCAATATTTTTTTAAAAAATTGATGAGTCCAAGTTTTAATCAAATATGAGTAAAAATTAGTTGACTGAAACACTTGGACTTCTGATTTTGTAAACTGAGTAACTTCATTTACTTGCATATAAATAGTGTATGTGATAACATTGGCAGCCGTTCCAAATAAAGTGCCAATATGAGATGGCTACTCCTATTGCTGTGTTTTAAAACCTTACACAGATCTACTCCATCTAGGAAAATGTTTTCCAAGATTTCTGTAATGACCAAATACCTTCTTCCTTTACTCCACTTTTACTATTGGTGGAATAGCAAATTGATATTTTAAAAGCAAAATGCTATCCTTGTTCTAATTTCAGGTCCAATTTTCTTGGTTATTTTTTGCCGGGGCAATCCCTGTATTCTTTTCATTTTTCATTGCAACTCTCTTATGTCACTACAACAACTGGGATCCAGTGATGGTGGGAATTAGAAGAGTTTTTGTATTCATTTGCAGAAAACACCGTATTCAGAGGTGGGATCATTTCTTTACAGCTTTATCTCTTTCCATTCCTACATGGACTTCTTTTGATGCATATCTTTATTATTCCTTTGTTTTGCCACTGTTGATGGGGGTGGGCAGGTGAAAAGGCAGTTAGGGCACCTGCACTTTTAATAGTTTTACAGTACGGAGAATATAAACAGATGTATCTTGCATGAGTTGAAATTCCCCCTTCTACACAGCTATGTAAGGAGCATGAAACTTCATCTACACGACTTTGATTAGTTTGCATGATCTGGTTTCAACTGTCTGAAATATATGTTCTCATTGGACATTGTTCTAAATTCAAAAATTATTACTCTCTTATTACAGCATACTTTTCTCAACAGTATTCTAGTTTGGGAAAACATTGTTCCACTGACAGTCTTTGAATTGCTCATTTTACAGATAATCAAGGCACAAATAATTCTTAACATAAAACTTAGCAAGGACATTGAGGAAAACTATGTATATAAAAAAGTACAAATCATTTATATTTTTTACAAAGTAACCCCTGACAAATAAACAACTATCAAAATTATCTGATAATTAAGCTGTTCTTTTTTTATAAACATACTTTTCCTAAGTACACATTTTAGTTATCAATTTAATTTTAGAGCCAACAAACGTGGAGTGAAGAATGTAAAAGGGTTCTAAACAAAATGCTGTGCATGACAATTTCTCGTCGAAGTCAAGATATTTTCCCTATCAGGACTAGCATTATAGATGTGCCTGTCTGCTTTTCATAATGCTGTGTATAAATACAAATTTCACAATCTGTATCATTTTGTAGAACATCTGACGAAAGTGAGCAATGTGAAAGTCTCATTGCCATGCACAGTGTTTCGCAAGAAGATGGAGAAAATGGCTGTTCTTAGGCAACAGGTATGCACAATTATAAAAAAAGTTGTGGGTTACATCTAAGTTATAAAAAAGAACGTATTACGTTATCAACATGAAACGGTTCCCATCTCCTTACTTTTGGAATGTTAATAATAAGCACAGATGTTATAGAGCCGGTTATGTATGCCAATTGATGACAACAATTGCAGCAGCACAACTTCAGAGAATCTGTGAGCATCAGTTTTAATAGTGGTTTAACTTGTGAAGTTTCTAATGTTACATTGTTTGTTTTATTTAGCATAAAAACATTTATCATTTAATATTTCAAAAAAAAATCTTATTAAGTGGTGTGCAGTCTAAAAAGCATACAGAAATCATGAAAACATGAAAACAAAATTATGTATGTGATTTACTAATTTGATAACAATGAGAAAAGACTTAATAATCACAGGTACTTCATAATGACACTGCCAGATATGCTTGTCCAGGTGTAAGTGCATGAATGTAATTTAAAATACATTTATTTACTAATCCTTCTGCTTCTTCCTTTATGTACTAAAATGCTGAACAGGCTGCTATGTAGTCAGATCCTTAGGTTTATTTAATCTGTAGCAGCATGATCAGTTAATGTAGGTTATAAAGTCCAGTCAAATAAATGCAGAATGTTGTATGTAATAAACTAATACTTTCCCCATTTCTTCAATAGCGCAAGATGGAAAAATAACTCAGCGAAGAGACAATCTCCTGGAAAGTCCTTATGGAATCATGTTTCAGTGCCTCTTCTGAATCGTTAATTGTTTCAGTTCTTTTGAAACTTAAAAATACACTCTCACTTTCTCAGTTCCAATCTTGAATCGGTTTTATTAAAGAGCTACTTTACTACAAGAAATCCCAGTCCTTCTAAGAAACCAACCTGCCTTATAGAACTCAGTTGGTGAAATTACTTGATACAATCAATGAAGTGAATGCTGATCTAGTGGTTTTTTTGTTTTTTTTTAAGCTTTCATATTTTCTTAAGTGCTGGATGACATTTTTACAAATACTTTTCAAATTCTGTAAAAAGTCTGTGTGAATCATAATTTTGTATAAACTTTCAAATGTAAAAGTAAAATACGGCAGTTACCTGTAATAGGTACTGATTACCCTTGTATGATGCTTAAGCTCTACTTGAATAACAACAAAAGAGCAGAAAATTATTTAATTTATTGAATAACTTCATTATTTCAGAAGCTATTATGGCTACTCAATACTATATAATATGCCATCTTATCTATATGAAAGACCTTGAAAGAGTTTGGGTGCCTTGTGTTTTAAATATCTGTGTCCTAATTCAAATTTTTGAAGAACTCTTAATGTAAAAGTATAACTTAACATCAGAATCCTTATAAATATGAACTACAAAAACTGATCTAAAGAATCTTCTAAAGAATTCAATTCCTGTTGTTTCAACGAAAGTTGTAAAATGTATCAAACCAAATATAGAAGCTGAAAACAATAGAGTGCTCTGAATTCAATGATGGAGAAGAAAAAAAGTTTCTAAACTTTTGTACACAATTTCTCATTGAAGTCAATATATTTTCCCTATCAGGACTAGCGTTATGGATGTGACCAAGAAAAAGGAGGTGCTTAATTTCCTCCCTCCCTCTTTGTTCTCAAAGCTGCTTTCCCATCTGAGGAGGAAAAAACACAGGATCTTATTTTTTAAAACCAAAAGGATTGATCGTAGAATGTCTGTCACATGTAATTGTGGACTAGAGAATAACACATGTATGTACGGAGCTTGCGATGCAAGGCTTTCCTCCTCCGACAAAGGTCCCCTGGCTGCATGGAAGTAATATGTTGCAGTGGTGCATGTTTTTTTTTTACAAGTTAAACTCATTCTACACTATGTGGAATGGGTTCTGGTTTACAGAGAATTCTAATACATGTGAAGAGTGCATATAAGTTATCAGTCTTCAGTAAGACAGAAGGCAGAGGGCTCAAATGGTGGGGAAAGACTTGGATCTAGAAATTTGCTAGCAGAAATTCTGCTATTGGTGCTGTTCCATCAACTATAGCCAGCTGAAGGCATTGTGTGAACTTGAAATGGAAGCTTATCTGGATCTCACTAAGTCAGGAAAGGGCACCTCTGGATCCCACCTTGACATTGCAACCCTGTAGACACTTACTTGGAAGTTAGCCCCGTTGACTACAAGGGGAATTGCTTCTGAGTGAACACCTGGAAGATGCATTGCATATATAAACCGATAGTGCTACAACAGTACTGTGCAACCCAGTAAATATTTTCAGAATAATTAAACAATGGATTTCATTTACTAATTTAAGAGTATTGGCTGTTTTAAACACACACACACACACACACACGACAGCACATTAATTTCAATGTGTCTATTTAATGCCTTTGTTGGATACCCACTTCCTAGTTTCTAAACTTTGAAGAAGTACCTATGAGCCTACATGCTCTAAACTACATGCTCTAAAATACAAGTTGTGGTTCAAATCCTCCCTATACCTCTACTTTCAATGGCATTGTAAACTTGTACATTCCACTCTTAGAATACAGTAGAATGTAGCTTGGATCCTGAGTTGCCCTTCCACAAAAGGAAGGGACTGCTTGCTAGTGGAAGGGGGGAGCTGGTTTTTGCAGTTCCTCCATAGGCCCCACTGGCAGGTCACATGCTGGTCTGGGTGATCTTCCTACCATCAAGTGTAAATTTGAAGGAGAAATTCATGAAAATTTGTGCTCTCCTTCAATGGGCAGGAGCATCCCCTGAGCAGAGTTCTGCTCATCGGGAACTTAGGCCAACATTTTTAGGAGAGAAATCGTCAAGGCTAGTAGTGCCCATACAAAGAAGATGAGAACAAACAAAATTGTGTCAGTTAAGAAAGCACCTTGACTAAACACTTCATCCCTTAGTTAAGTAAACTATTTTTTTCAGAATCCGTATGTATTCCTACTTATGACTGGCAACCATAGATCATGTATAACCTTCCATACCTGCACAGTATGTAGGTTGCTCTCAGTCATTGTCAACTATTGAGAGGATTGTAAGCTGTTTTGTGTCCATTTGATTTCTTGACCACCAACTTGAATTGATTTGTGACTTGACCTTGCATAAAGTTTAGATCATTGGCAGGAGCAAGACTTATCTCCAATAAGATTACATTGCTTTAGGAAGGCGAAAGATTATGGGCTTAAGTCTGTCTGGAAATGGAAAAACAAACTATTAGTGCATCAGGCAGTAGAGAAAGTAAGCAACAGTAATGATTTGCTTCATTAATGTTCTACTCTTTGAGAGTGTCAGTCAAGCTTGGTTAGTAAAAATTGACCACTAAATTATGTTTTTATAGCTACTGGAGCAGTAATTTGGTGGCTTATACAGTAATGTGCCTCCTGTGGCCAATTCTGCTTTCAGATATGAGTTGCAATGTTTATGGCAGAGAGGCGAGTGCCATTTCTACATTCATGGCAACCTCCCCTCCCCCCCCCAGTATTTACCTGGAACAATTATCAGGAAGCCATCCTAACCTTTACCTTACATAATCTGTCTTTAAAATACCTTGATGGAAGAGTGTGTTTTTAAAATAATAATAAAAAATTGTGAAGATATGATAAATATAATGCACACTTTATTTCAACATTTCCTATATATCCAGCAATACCACTAGGTGATAGACGTGTGGTTTATCCTCTCTGGGCCTAGCATCCTCTCATTACATTGTTTGTTTGTTTAAATGTGCTCAGAAAAGCTAGTGTGCGAGCAAAACTATTAACCATTTGGATTGTTTTTCTTACTATTCTTTTAGCAGTTGGGAGTACATTATAAAGTGAAATCTCTGAAAACTGTCAACAGTGATTTTAAGGTTTTAAAATGTATGAGTTACAGTACATACATATTATATATGGCATTGGACCTGCATTTAATAAACTATAATGATATTTTTCTACACTCAATTGCGTCTGCCTAGTCCCACCCTGAACAATAATTATGTCAACAGTCTTTCTTCTAACAAATTCTTAATGTCAACATTTAGCTTTATAAACTTGGCAACTATCTATTATATCTTAGGACCAGCTTATTAACTGCAGTAAGTGTGTGAAGAGGATAAATTGCCTGTATCGCCACTCTGGAAGAGCAGAAATTTATCACTCTGCGTTTTCACAGTACAGTGGTACCTCAGGTTAAGAACTTAATTCGTTCCGGAGGTCCGTTCTTAACCTGAAGCACCACTTTAGTTAATGGGGCCTCGTGCTGCCACCACGTGATTTCTGTTCTCATCCTGAAGCAAAGTTCTTAACCTGAGGTACTATTTCTGGGTTAGCGGCATAGGCGCCGACTCCATGGGGCTTGAGGGGGCTCGAGCCCCCTCAAAAATTTTTTTGGGGGGGCTCAGCCCCCCCAATAATCTCGGGCGCCGGGGGCGGGGGCTCCTGCCTCGCTGCTTCGCAGCACCACCGCCACTGCCAAGGCACTGCCGGGGGGAATTTCCTTCCTCCTGGCGGTTTCAGCCCCCGCGAGAACAGGGGAATCCCGACTGGCCACACCTCCCAGCCAGCCAATCGGCTGGCTGGGGGGGCGTGGCTTGCCCTATTTAGGGCCGGAGCCACTTTATTTGCATATTCATGAGCTTATTTATTATTCATGAGCTTTCCCGGGCCCCAATATTTTTTATAAGTCCGCGTCCCTGGTTAGCGGAGTCTGTAACCTGAAGCGTCTGTAACCTGAGGTACTACTGTATCTGGAATTCTTAAATCACCTTTGGATCCAATCCAATATTCTCAAGACAAACTTAGTTCCCAGTGCCTCTGTGTGGGACATAGGGACAGAGTTGCCTCATTTTAAAAATTATTTAGCTTGTACACTGAAGTAAAGTACCGGTAACTTTGTGAAATGTCACATAGTCATATAGCAACTTAAAATGTTTTTATTTGCCAACTTTTTAAATTAAATACCATCTCAAGTACATATTTAATATTGGCCTTTCCCCCAGGTTAAAACAGATCACACCGAAATGCAAAATTAAAAGTAGACAGTGTCAAATTGGAGATGCTGGGAATTAGATACGGGGCCTTGCTGTATAATGAACAAATGACCCTGCTGCTTCTGAAACCTGTGCTTATCCTATCTCTACCCCAAGAGCAGTAATTTGGTTCGGAGTATGTCTGTTTATTACAAATATTTTAATATCTCCCTTTGATCATATTCCCAGAGTGTTTACATGTTGATGTTGACTGGATATCTGATAATGAACCCCGTCCCTTGATTATTTACTCATTTCCCGTGATTCCTATGAAAAACCTTCCTAGTCAGCCATTTCATCTATATTGTTTCCTTGTTTCCTTTCTGCTTTGTTTTATTCATGATTTTGTTACCCCTGGAGAGGGTCCCTGGGATATGACCTTGGTAACAAACCATGCCTCTGCCTCTGGGTTTGCATTTCTGATTAAGGTGGTTGGCTTCCCCCAAGGCCAGAACTTTGGAAGGTGTTGCAAATTAACATTAGTAACAGCGCCTGAGACAAAAGCAAAAGCTTAACTGTAGGTGGATATCTGTTTGCGGAGAGATTTGGAAGATAACATAGTTAGAAGGAACATCTGTCACCTGCATTTTCTAGGGAATATGAATAGCTTGTACTAGTCTTTAGCTTTCTGCATTTTTAAAAATGGCATAGAGCTAAAGAAAATACTAAGTGCAATGACTTAGCTGTGTAGAGGAGAGGGAGGGGAAATTCCACTGAACAGCTACAACTCATTGCACTAGTGGAACAGTTTAGTTGGATACCACTTATAATCTGGGGGGAAACAGCTCTGTTCCCCTAGGCTCAAGAGTTTCATGCAGAGGAAATGTGGCTGGAATAAACATAGTGGTACCTCTTGAAATGCTCTGTTTTGGAGAGTGTGATGTGTTTGTATGCTGTTTGGCAGTGTACATCATAATCGGATCACAACCACATTGAATAGTGGATTTCTTTGTCTACCTAGGCACTTGAAGTCTGCATATTGGTATGTGTGAATAGACTTATTGTTGAGAAAAGATTTGGTAAATCCTTTTCAGTGGAAAGTTGCTATGAGCCACTGCTCAGGGGATATTCAAGACAGCAAACCTAAAGCTGTAACACTTTAAATTGTAGAGATAATGAGATGAGAAAGAGAGAGAGTCTAATGTTGCACAGATTATTATTTTTGGCTTGAACAATGTACATACTTCTTTTTAAAGAATGAACAATAAGAGTAATCTCAAATCTATACAGCAGTTCTCATGCACATTTATGGACCTGAGCAATTACTTGTTTTCACTGCCTACCGTGATGGATACATAAACATTTCTAAATAGGAGCGGTGTGCCGAATGTGTATATTAGAGTTGAGAAATAAAAATTGAAAACTAGGACACACAACTTAATGGCCAGATCCTGTACTTGTTGCATTCTTTTGGAGGCAACTCAGTACAAAAATATTACAATAACATTTTTTTTATTGATACCCCGCCCATCTGGCTGAGTTGCCCCAGCCACTCTGGGTGGCTTCCAACACACATAAAAATAACAATAAAACATCAAACAATCCAATCCAATATGGAAGTCAAAATAACTTTAAAATAAACAACTTATATCAAAACAATATTGAATAATCCATTAGAATCCAATAGTAAACAGTAAAATTAAACATCAGCAAATAATAATTGCCGAAGAATTGATTCTTTTGAATTATGGTGCTGGAGGAGACTCTTGAGAGTCCCATGCACTGCAAGAAGATCAAACCTATCCATTCTGAAGGAAATCAGCCCTGAGTGCTCACTGGAAGGACAGATCCTGAAGCTGAGGCTCCAATACTTTGGCCACCTCATGAGAAGAGAAGACTTCCCGGAAAAGACCCTGATGTTGGGAAAGATTGAGGGCGCAAGGAGAAGGGGACGACAGAGGACGAGATGGTTGGACAGTGTTCTTGAAGCTACCAGCATGAGTTTGACCAAACTGCAGGAGGCAGCGGAAGAGAGGAGTCCCTGCTGTGCTCTGGTCCATGGGGTCATGAAGAGTTGGACACGACTAAATGACTAAACAACAACAAATAATAATAATTAAACAGTTTACAGTTATCAGTTAGAATAAAGAATTGCTAATCAATAATCAATAAAAATAACAGCAAATCACAATGCATAAAATACCGCAAAACATACAAAATCGTGTAAAAGGGTCACATTGCAAAACAAGAACACACAACCTGTAAAATTATTTTTTTTAACTATCCCTGAACTCCTCCCTTCCAAGCTGCTTCTGCTCTTCTCAAAGTCATGGTCTGGGAAAGGCTCCCAGGGCTGGAGGGTGGGGCGAGACAGGTGGAAAAGCCATTGCCTGCAGAAAGTCTCTCTCCCCTCAGTTCTTATAAAGATGTCTGAAAATGAAATGTAAAGGCTGGCAACATCAGCCCCACCAATGTGGAAATGCCTTGCAGACGACTGCAGTCATGTTGTGTATCCCCAGCATGACTGCTGGGGAGGAGTGCAGACAGAAGAAACACCATGGTACATCAGCAGCACAACCGGACACCTTCATCTGCTCCAACTGCAATAAATTATGTCTCTTCCACCTCAGTCTCTACAGCCACAGCAGGCGCTGTAACTGCCCAATGGTTTCACTTCATCCCCAAAGGCACACTTCTCCATTGTCTCCTAAGGCAGGCGGGTGCCAGCAACCTCCTGTGTTGAAATCTACCAATCACCCATGTTAAGAATTATCTACCATGAAATGTTTCTACCTACTGATGTTTCATTAATGCTGACTCTTATGTCCTGACTGTCAGGATGGATGGTCTCATATAATATGATGAGTTTATCAATTAGGTTCAGCTGTATGATTTGAAGATTAATTGCCAGCCACCTGCCATTGCACTTAAGCATTCAACACTATATGGGTTTTAATAGTCTATTTCATTCTATTAAGGGACATTTTCTCAAATCCTTTGTGATTTTGTAGATCTGAAAGCAGAATCCTGCTCACAGCTTGATACTGCCATACTCTATTAATTTTAATCTGTCATAGTTTTGCTGTATATTTTAATTGTATTAAATTAAAAGTGCTCTTACACTGCTGGTCTGGAGAGGAAAAAAACCCTTCTTCAAGGTTAAATGGAAAGACGTGTCTTTGTGTAAGCTCCACCCTTCAAGGTGATAAGCAGAGATGTACAATAATTATATTACCATGGCTAAAAATAATTTCTGAAGTAGTGATCATACCAGGCAATCATTCAAAGGCGACAGGGCTCTGTTGTATGATCTCATTTTGCAAAATTCCAGCTGCTCTTATTTATTTATAGTATTATTTGTATACCTCCAAATAGCTTTGCTGTGAAATTTGCAAGTAAAAGTCACTTTGTGATATTGATTCAAAGCAATGCAATTTCATGAGATTTTCCATTTAAGATTTTTGGAGGAAAATGTGGATTCACACAATCATGGCATTTTATCTCTTGCATATGTTTATTATTTCATCAATATGTAATTGGGCCCATCTTTGGGCCCATGGTTCAAAACTTCATAAACACACACAGTATAGTATCCGGGGCTGCACAACCTTTTAACCCTTCCCCCTTGATAAAATACAGCACTTACATTATTATTCACCAATGCAGAATACATTTGCATGTATATAAAGCTTGGTACTGAATTCCTGGGAAACTATTTGTACATGGGGAGAAATTCAACATTTTCTCCTGATTTTCCCATTCTGTGATGGAGACAGGCATGCAGAGAATAACATGCTAATCATGATGTCCTGTGAGTGAGGCAATTTTTTCAAAACAAGGAAACAGCAGGGCAGATTTAGTAATTTTGAAGTCGATGCACAGGTCTCCTTGGGAACAGTACGGCCTCTTCTTCACATCCTCCCACCTGCCCTCCTTTTGTGCCTGCTCTGAGTTCTATTCCTTTTAATATAAACTTGAAAGATTAGGAACTGA